CTCTATTTTTTTTCCTTCCTTTTTTTTTTATATCTTTCCATTTCCATCGTCTTCTGCATTTTCTCCTCCGTCTTTTATCCCATTCGCGATAAAGAAAAAAAAATGGAAATTGAAAGAGATTGCGACACTCTCGTATAGAATTACCCGCCTTCGTTTATTGTAAAATTACTCCCCTCTGTTTCATCTGTCGACGTTATTAACCGCTTTTGCCTCCTTTTCGTATCGAACTTTCTTTGCATCGAATTGGAATCTTTAAATTATTATTTTTTTAAAGAAATATCGAGGAAAGGAATGTTCTATAAATTTTTTGAATTCAGCTTTTTCGAAAATCTATTAGATATCTTAATATATATATATGTTTATTTTTACGAGATGATTCTTAATTGATGTGATAAAGAATCGTAGATATTTTCTTCAAATCAAATCATTAGAGGGAGATTTTCTAAAGATTCCTTTTTAGCTCAAAATTTTTTTAAGAATTAATGAAATATTCACGTATGCATGTAAATGATTCTAAGTTTCAAAAAATTCCTTTAATTCGAACGAATCTCTAGGGAGAAGATTTGTTTAAAAATTTTACGGAATATACTTTATTAATTTTCCCAAATTTCGAAGAATCATCAAAGCACCTTTTACCCTTTAATCAGACTTTCTATTGGCAAATTTCTTTACAATTTTTGTCCATAAAAAAAATATTTACACGTACTTCACCTTTTAAATTGGCGCTCACCCTTTAAAATCATCATCAGAGCTTAAGAGCTTCGATTATCCCTTCGCTTTGATGATGTCTCCGTGGGAAATATTCTTGAAAATTTTCAATTATTCATTCACGCGCAAATTCGATTTATCAGAGAGTCAGTCTCGAAGAGATTCGTTAAACGGCAAAGAACTCGGCGAGCAGAGATCCGTTTGAACTGGAAGGGAGTTAATTCTTCGCCACGGTGTGGCGCGGTTTGTAACGGGGTTAATTAAGTCGTGAACGATGCGAACGGGTACACATGCTTCTTTGTGCCCGAGATCGCGCGAGTTGAAATCGTTTACGAGGAAAACGAGCACGGTTAACGAGCAATTCATACGCCGCTGACGCGCTGAAATGATGGGAATATAAATATCGCCGCATTGTCCAGTGTTTCATTTACATGTCGCGCGTGATCTTGTTAAAGGAAACGAACAAAAAGATGATCGTTTTTCAGATTTTATTTGCAAAAATTCGTCCTGTTGTTTCGAGCAAAAGAATGTGAAATTTTTTAAGAATATCGAGGCCTGTGCCCATTGTGACGATTCAAGAACACCCGTTTGAGGAAGAGTTGATGAAAAATTGTTTAAATTTCGAGCAGAAATACATACTAACTACAGGAAGAAATGAAGTTCGTTTGTTTTTCAAGAATTTTTGTTTTCAACGATCTGTAAAACAAGATTAAGTATTTGAAAATACTTGCATCTTGGAAAATACATCTTCATCGAGATTTCAAGAAAGAATTTAACGTATCATAATTTCCCATTGAATAGAAACTGATCCAGCATATATTTATATATTTATCAGAGGGAAAGACTTGATCATAAATTTCGAAATTGCATAATCCAATCCTTTGCCGCTTCTTGATTGTCACGATGGAAAATTTATAAGAGAACACATGTCGCGTTGTTGCCAGGTAGAAGCAAAGCATCATCCTCTCTGTACTCGAGGATGGAATAAACGTACATGGATTGCCCAATGGCGAACGTTTTGGCCACTGATTCACCGCTTGTGTCACCGCCTCTCCATTTCCCCGTATTTCGTCCAACTAACCGAATAATTCGAGAAATGATACAAATTTCGCTTTACCTATCCGCAACATTCTTCATCGGGTTAACACGTGATCGTCGGGGATATATTTCAAGCTAGAATTGTTGGAGGTTGCTGTCGAACAAAATGTTCAAAGATTTATCATTCTTCGACGTCGTAGAATAATATTTGTTTGAGTATTAATAATTTTTTAAAGTGGTATATCGTTTGAACTTGTACGAAGCATATTCGAAAGAGTGTCTTAATTAGTATTAAGAGGGGAGGATGTATTTTTATTTCAAATACGATTACCAAGAGGTGGGGTAGTATAGGAAAAGCAACGAGGTCGTAAAGATCGATCAGAGGTCGAAGTTTAGAACGTTCGTGCGAATTGATAGGAGCTCGAGGAGATAAGAGTGTGAAAACCTTTTTAGTTAGAATGAGATATCGCTCCAATTATCTTTTCTCACGTGCCCTCCTTGTTAATAATTCTTCTTCTAAAAATTTTTTCCCCCCCTTATAAACGTCCCCCTTTCCTGAAATTCTGAATTTCTTTCTTTTTCTTGCATCATCGCTTTGTTTCGATCGCAACAACTTAGATAGATTCGTTTCGTAAAACATACTTGTACTGCAGCGAGTGAAAAAGGAACGCGTACGGTCGGACAAGGAGCGTCAGACTGTACGCGTGCTTGCTCTCCTTCTAAAAAAAAATTACTAATTACCAATTCATTCAAAAATTCGACCGACAATATTCTCCTTCGTCAAGAAATTTATTTGTTATATTTGCAAATTAAACTTCTCTTTCATCTTTAGAAACTTGGAACTTAAAAATTAATGCAACAAAAATAATAAATAATATAGAATACGAGATAGAGAATCGAACGAAGACTTTCACCGAGTTAAAGTAATTAATACCACTCCTTCTTTCCAACGAAGCAGGAATTGCTATTTATAACAGTATATCAGTGGATCGCAGTCAACCTCGTCCTTCAGTTCGATCGTTTCGAAGTTAACGCGGATTTAGTGGCGAGAACGACGCAGCTACTTTGGCAAGGGTAATAATGCCGGTGATATTACGTCTGCTATTATTAGGTGCGAACTGCTCGTTACACTGTAAACTGTATTCTCGTTTCCTCGTTGTGTGCGTGTAACGTATATATATGTGTGTGTGTGTGTGTGTGTGCACGCGCGTGTGGAAGGTGTGTGGAGGCACACGCAGCCACTGGGAACTAATGCCATTCAACATAATTAGCGTTATCCATTTATGATCAAAACTTGTAGGTCCACGACTGGGTCTCGGTTGCACGATAAACAGAGAGACAACTTCGATACGTCAATGTTAAGCCAACTCTCATAGTTGGGTAATTACGAACAGGTAATTATTGGAACGTTTCTCAACGGCGAATCTCAACAGCCACTTTCGGTTAATCTGCATTTTCGATAAAGAAAGAGATTTTTATTTTTCTTTCATCGAATTATTTTTTTTTTTTTTCTTTTTTTGGATTTCGCTCCTCCACGAGAGTTATGTAATTAGGTGATTAGGTGAATGTATGTACAAATTTTTACAAAGCTTTTTCTTAAGCAATAATTAAATTTTATCTCCTCTCTTCCATTTTTTTGTCGAACAACAAGTGGAAAATTTTGAACGTTTCGAATTAATCTCTCTTTGACGTACTATTTCAAGTTCATAAAAATCGATTATTAAATTTTTGCTTAATTTATCTCTTTCAATTTATTTGGTCCCGCCATCGCACGATACAGGAGAAATTTTCGAAAGCTTTTTAATTGCTTTTTTTATCTCTGCATTCGGAAAATTTTCAACGCGCAATTTGTATAGAAATTAACTTTATATATATATATATATATATATATAGGTCACGCATCAAATTCCAAATCTGTACAAAACACCCAAATCGTCTTCCAATTAATCGCGATGAAATATTTTATCCCGATGAAATATT